AAGGGAAATCAGGAAAAGGTTCAAAAGCAACAAAAAAAAAAAAAAAACCCGGTCCCAAAAAAAAAAAAAAAAAAGAATAACAACTCCAGCCAAGAACCTAACGCTATACCTTAAGGAACTGGAAAAAGAAGCATTAACTAACCCTAAAATTAAAGAAAGGAACAATAAAGATTGGAACATAAATATTTCTGTGTGTTATTTGCATGGGTACAGGCACCAGACCTGCCTCTCTGGCATGAGCATATGTGCAGGACCTGCCTGCCTGCCTGCTGTTCCTGGCATGGTATAGGTGCAGGGCCTGTCTCCCTGTGGGCCCTGGGCATGTCGCTATGAAGTCCACTCCAGTGTCTGGCTCAGACCAGATTTCTGCCTTGCATAATACTTTGCAGTTCTGACCCAGAGTCTCTCTAACTAGATCATAACATAGGTCCGTGACACCTGCTCTGGGTTCCCACTGTGGGCCTTACAGAGAGAGCCTTGGAGCTGCCTAACTACTGACTCAGCAGGGATCTTCTGAAAAGTTTTTGTCACTGCTCATGTCAAGAGTCAAGAAAAGGGTCTTCCTGGCATAGGCCTTCCCCTCTCCCTGTGCCCCTGCTGACAGTGGCTTTTCTTCCCTCCCCCCCCCCCCCCCCCCCCCCTCCCCCCCCCTCCCTTCCCCCTGCCAGGCCTACTACCTCTGCTTCCGTCCACGCTCACTAGAGCGCTCGCCCCAGACTGAGAGCCCTCTCTGTTCACTGACACAACTTCTGTCTGCACACCTACCATCAGCACCATGTGACCAGAACCCACGCCATTGGCTGCCAATTATGTTTAATCTGCATATTCATTAGATGACAGGGTAAGGGGAGGGACTTGGGTGCAGCCTAAGAGTTGAAGTTTGAACCCATGCTGGAGGTAAGGGGCGGGAGAGTCATGGACCCTCTGTAAGCTCAGATTCTCCTTTAAAGGATTTGGAAGCTGTTAGGGTAATTTGTTTGGTCGTTTGGATGGATTTTCTTTTGTGCTTCAAAGATAGTGATTCGAAAGGGAAAGAGAATTGAGCAACAGTTGTACAGAAACAGATGTTTAAGCAGGCTGCACAGAAAACATTGAGTCAATCAATCAACCATGCCAATGGCTAAGACCAAAACATTTCAGGAGCAGCAAACTTCTTTCCTGGCCACACTTGCTTGAATTCCTCTAGCTTAGTCCCGCTTCCTGATCAGAGTTTATCTGGCTGTTCAGTTGTATTTGGCATGTAGCTGCTTAAAAAGGATACTATCGCTGAAACACTTGCCCTAAGCTGTCTTGTTGTAAAGACTTTCTCAAGATTTGAAACATTAGCCACCCTGTGATACTCCAACGACTGTTGTGACATTATTTGGGGGGGGAGGGGCCGTTCAAGACAAGGTTTCCCTGTGTAACTTTGGAACCTGTCCTGGACTAGCTCTGGAGACCAGGGTGACCTCAAACTCACAGAGATCCGCCTGCCTCTGCCTCCCAAGTGCTGGGATTAAAGGCCTGCTGCAAATGTTTTCTATATTGCTTGTAGAATCCTATGTATATTTCTCTCTATTTATATACATATGCATGCATGTATATATATCATGTTTTCTGAGAAATAGTATTTCAAAAGTGATTCCATGATAGTTGATGAACCACAGAAAAAAAGTAATGCGAGTAAAAACACTGTGGAAGCAACTGTCCTTGGTCTAGAAGTTTAGCTTTCATTGGCAAAGAACAAGGTGTAAAGGAGGGAATTCGGCTTAGAAGGAATTGTGTGAACAAAAATCAACCAGAGAGCAGGGTGTTGGTGGTGCACGCCTTTAGTCCCAGCACTCGGGAGGCAGAGGCATGTGGATCTCTGTGAGTTCGAGGCCAGCCTGGTCTACAAGAGCTAGTTCCACGACAGCCTCCAAAGCAATACAGAGAAACCCTGTCTCAGAAAAAACAAACAAACAAACCAGAGACCATACTATGCAT